TATTAAATAATTTAAAAAAATTATAGAAGAAAAAAAAAACAGGCAGTGGCAATATTTTGTAAATTCAATTGGAAATTACAATAAAATATATTTTTGAAATAATCAATAATTTTGAGAGAAAAAAAAAGTTTTTTTGTGCTATAAATTAAATTTAACAAAATTAATTATGAATGTTAGAAAAATTTTTTCATTTTAAATGAAAAATTCTCAAAAATATATCACAGATAATGACAGAGAGAGAGAGAGAGAGAGAGGGAAAAGGAGAGCGAAAAAGAAAGACAGAGGGAGAGAGAGAGTGAAGAAGAGAGAGAATTTGATGAGAAAAATCGATTTAAATATGCTTCTATTTAAGCCACTTCAGTTAGTCTTCTTCATATTATATTATAAAAAAAAATGAAAAAAATTGATAACCATCTGTATCTAAGAGTTAACTAAAGAATTCGATTAGCGTTAGATAAGATAAAAAATAAAAATTAGTTCCAAAAAAATATTATTTTTCCTTTCTCTTTGTTTTTTTCTCTCTCTCTCTCTTCTCGCTTACTCCTTTCCATGTTTTTTTTTGTAAACTTTTTCTTTTTAAACTTTTCATCCCATTGAACTTTTATCATTTGTCAATGCAACTGTCTAAGGATTTGTCAAATTGGATTATTGTCATTTTCGATCTTTTCACCTCAAAAAATGTCCTTTTCAAAATTTCATTTTCATTTAAACAAAATTAAATTTGACAAAATAACACCAAAAAAAAGAAAAAAAAGGAATAGCTTTCATATTTTTAAAGAATAAAAAAAAATGAAAATTTTGTTCCTTTTCTATTTTTTAAAAAAGAAGAAAATACTTCCATCTATAAAAATGGAAAGAAGGAATTGTACTTCTTTTTAAAAAAAAAAAAAATAGAAAAAAGGAACGAAAGAAGCAAATGGATGAATTTTGATTAAGAAATGAATTTTTTTTTTATGTATGAAATTCAACTCCTTTTTTCTTCTTTGTTTTTTTTTTCGTTTGATTATATACTATTATTTAATTTCATCTTCTCCTTCTTTGTCATATTTGGCGCTTTTGTCACTCATTAAAATATATTTCATTCAAATTATTTTTTTTGCTTTATAAAAAATCTTTTATAAATTGCATTTCATTTCCATTTTTCATTCATTTGTTTCATTTTACCAATATTTTTTCTTTCCTTTTTTTTTTTTGAAGTTTATAATATTTAAAATCAAGAAAGCCATACTAGATGTTAATTGCATAAAGTTTATTGATATTTTTTGTTTACTTATTTCATTTTAATCTCAATTTTGACAACGATCAATTTTTTCTATTATACTAATTTGTTGAAAATGATTTGATTTTTTTTTTTTTAATATTTTTCCACTTTTTTTCTAAAAAATAGAAGGTAACCTTTTGCGTTAGTTAAAATTTAAAATGATATAATAGTTGTTTTGGAATTTAAACTTCTTTGTTTATTTCAATTAAACATTACAAAGCAATTTGTTTTCTTTTCCAATAATGTAATTGTGTCCAAATTCAAAATTACTTGAAGTATTCGTTTTCAACCATTTCTTATCTTTTTTTTTTTTTAATTGGTTTTAAAGTTTGAACAACTTTTGGCTTAATTTACAGCAAGTTTGAGCTGTCGTTTGAAAATAAAATTTTAAAAATGAGAAATAAATATGATTCCTTTTTTTCAAAACTTAGTGTTAAATGATAGTTTAAGATTATTTAGCTCATCCAATTTGCATAAAATTTGGAATATTGCATTTTTTCAAATTGCATCAAAAAAAAATCTTAAATGTAATAAATATATCACAGTGCTGATAAAATAATACTAACTAACGGTCAAATAATACATTTCGAATTAAACTGTTAAATAAATCAATCCTTTTTATAAAATGAAATATTTTATTTAATTCGAATATACAAAATTACAAAATTTTTAAAAATTACATTAAAATTTTTTTGAATATATCAAATCTTTCAATTTTTTAAATATATCAAAATTTTATATATATATATATATATATATATATATATATATATATATATCAAATCTTGTTTAATTTGATTCATATTTTAATTTCTAATTAATCATATATTTTACATCTAAAAAAATTTTATTATTTTATACTACTTTTTTTTTGGAAATTAGTGCAATAAATAAATGAGCATTAATATAAATAATGAAAACGAAATTCAGTGCTTCAAATATTTTCTCGTTTCCTTAGTTAATGAATTAAACGAATAAATTATTACTTAATTATTTACTAATAATTGATTATTTAGTCTTTTAATTTTTATCTTTCAAAAAAAGAACTATGTATTAAGCAATAAAATAAATTATAAAACAATAAAAAACTATAAAAAAAAAATAAAGGTACAAATGAATAAAATAACAAAGTTATTTAGCAAATTAATTGGAATTTTAATCGAAAAATTAGTTCTATTTGAATTTTTTGGTTCATTTATTTAAAAATATTTTTCTTTCATGGCACTTAAATCATTTCTGCTTGTTTGTTGCATTGTTTTGCCATAAAATCTCAGAATAATAAAAACGAGAGTCATTTTTTTTTTTTTTTTTTTTTAGAATTTCGTTTTTAATTTATAAAAAAAAGAAAATTAATTGCTATATAATTTGTTTACGTCAGGCTGCAAAACTTTTTGCGCTTTTTTTTTTATTTGTTTGAAATCCAAAAAGATTTTTACTAATTTCATTTAATCTCTGTGATTAGGGAAAAATAAGATAATTAATTATTCATAATTAAAATTATTAGAAAATTTAATGTTCTATTAAAGGAATTTCTAAACTATCATATATACTTCATGAAAGATTGTTACTAATATTATAAATTTTCATTTTTCTTCTTTTTCTCCTTTCGTTTTGCTTTTATTTTCTAAAAGGAAAAAAAAGGATACATTAAATCTAATATCCGATTTTAGACAAATTTCAATTCCATTGAGAATTGCTAAAATAAATGAAAGTGATAATATTTCATTCCTTCCTTTTCTTCCTTTTTCATCTCTCTCTCTCTCTCTCTCTCTCTCTCCCATTTTTCTTGCTTTTATTTTCAAATTTTTAAAATTTGTCACAAAAATTTTTCTTTCTTTCTTACATTTTTTTATTTCTTTTTAAAAATTTTTTACGATTTTTTTTTTTTTCATTTATAATAACTTATTTAAACTTAACTAAAAGCATTTATTCGTCGTCTATGATTTGTAAAAAAGAGAAAAGAATAAAGACAGAACACTTCGTCGTTTTTTTTTTTTTTTCAAAATTTACATTTCAATTTGCAAAAATTTTGCTAAAAAAATGAAATATATGACAAAAAAAAGAAAGGAAAAATAGTCATTTTCGTTTTGTTGTAAATCAAAGAAAAAATTTTTCAATTTTTTATAGCTGAAAAGGAAAAAATTTTTGAAATGTTGAAAACTTTTTATGTTTTTTTTAACTTAACAGAAGAAATTATTTTAAAATATATTATTAAGTTAAATTTTTATACTTTTTCTCGCTTAATCTAATCAGATGGATAATTTTTTCAACATTTTTCTCTTTTTTTTTTCATATTTTTCTTTTTTTTTGAGGTTAGAGCTTAATTTTATGTAATATTATTTAGTTTAGCGTAATATTGGTTAGATTGAATTTTATTTGGTTCCAATTTTTAGCTTAGCTGAAAGTTTGTCATACGCATGATTAGATTGAGTGAAATGATAATTTGAATGTAATATAATGGATAATATTTTAGTATGCCATAAAAATATAATTCATTTCAAAAAAAAAAATTCTCTTTTTATATTTTCCAAAAATTATTTCATTCATCGCTTTTTTTTTATCAAATTTATACATGAAAAAATAATTTTTATACGTAAATATTATTTAATTTCAATTTCATTTTTTTTTTTCATATCTAAAAAAGATTTATTAATTTATTAGTGAATCATTTAATTAACCAAAAGCTTTTGGTTAGTGAAAAAATTGATGAGTAGAAAATAAAAAAGGCAAAAATGATCTATTTTGTTGTATTTTTTTGGATTATTGCAGAAAAAAATATTTTGTGATTAATTATTATTGTTTAATTTATGGCATCATTTTTTTTCTTGAATTATTTTTTTTTCCTTAAATTAAAATTATGAAGTAAACAATAATAATTAATCATAAAATGTCTCCAACTGCAACAATGAAAAATGAGAAAAAAAAGAAACTAAAAAAAGAAATTCAATTATTATTGTATTAATATAATTTCAAATTAAATTCACGCTAATTTTATTCAAAATTCTTATTTTTAAATTTATTAGAAAACGATTATATTTATTAATAGTTGCATATAATTACTACTGGTTGTCTTAATTTGGTAGCCCAAGTTCAAGCATTTTTGCTAGGCCACTTTATAAGCCTGGAAACCCTATCATATACCTTATCATTCATAAATCTTGATAGTTAACCTTAAATATCTTTTCAGGAAGTAGCTTTTTTTTTAAAATTATTTTATAAATTCCAAGAATTGAAAACTAATATTAAGAACATTACCGAAAGTAATATTTCGTTTGACTTGATCTGATCGATATTTCGATCAAATTTACTATATTACTTCATTCTTTTCCTCTTCATTTCGATTTTTTTTTTTTTTTTTTTTTTTTTGTACACCTAAAATTTTATGCAACAAGATGACAGTAAGGCAGTAGTAGTAAAATACTTTGAGTATTCGAAATTTTCTGATGATAAATTCTTTGGGTAATCGAAATTTCTGATAACAAAAATAGCAATCTCAATAATGCATTACTTGTTTTTATTCTTTGTTAATAATAGTAATAATATTAATATTAATAATAAGTTCATTATTGTTCTTTGCTAATAATATCTGACTTTTTGCTAATTTTTAAGCAGTAATGCTAAAATTTTGTAAATTATATAAAAAAAAAATTAATATTTCATATTTTGACGGAAGAAAATTAATGAAAATTATTATTACAGGAATTTATAAAACGAAATGATAGTTAAAGGAAGAAAGTAAATGGATAATAACCACTTGGACAATAACACCACTGCACTATCTGAGGATGACACAACGAATTGTAGTTATTATGCAACCGATTATCTTGAAGAGCGCTTTTGGCTTGTATCAGTTGTTGGTACTTCGGTTGCAACCTTATCTATCATACAAAATTCATTTTTGTTTGCTACACTGATTGCTAAGTAAGCTTATTTTAATTACTAATTTGAATATTTGAATTAATCGCATTACATTAAGTTTATTTAGAATTATTTGTTTAATTTTTGTTGTGAGAGACAAAATTGTATCTAATTTAAAATTATCATATTAATTAATTCGGATACAATAATATAGAATTGCAACAAAAAGCTATTTATTAGATTCATGTCAATGAACGATCAATTTCATAATGTATTTTTATTACTTTAATTATTTTACATAATAAGCTTACTTCTATAAAACATTCATAATTGATAGTTTAAAATTCTAAGTTTCTAGTCAATCTTTTTTACTAATGTTACCATAAAATTTGCAGCTGTTTTAATTTAATATAATACACAGCAGCTAATTTTTAATTTTTATGTAAAATAGATTTAATTATTTTCTGCAGTAATTATCATGTTTCCAATTACTTTTCTAATGATCGTATAAATAAATAAACAAAATATTTTTTTTGAAATAACTAAATAGTAATATTGTCAATAGTAATTTCATTTAAATAATTATTTGCAGAAAATCTCACCGTCAATCTTACGTACTATACTTTATCTTATTAGCATTTTTTGATATATTAATAGCTGGTGCTTACATTCCATTAATGTCGATATCACAGCTTGCTGATTACTTCATGTCACCGTTACTACTTCAAGCTTGGTATCATCCACATATTGTTATTTTAATTAAAATAATCACTGACATTCAATAATTCTCTGATAAAATGCTTGTTTATTAAATTAATTGTGATTAGCTCTTTTATTTTATTCTTTTTCTTTTTATGCCTTACATTATTTGTGCAGTAAAATGTACAGTAATTACCAAATTAAGGTATAGCTATATGATACCAATGATAACGATATCACATATAGCGATGACATCGTCGTCATTTCTTATACTTGCGGCAACATTTGAAAGATACTGTATGACAGTTGCGCCACGAATGATAGATTGTTTAAATCGCTATCGTGATTACATTGCTGCTTTCGATATAATAGTTGGTGTGATGACTAAATCATCACTTGCACTCGAATTTAAGGTTTGTTCAAGAAAAAAAAAAAAATTCGGTCTTTTTTGAAAAAAATTTTTATTAAAAATATATCATAAAATGAACTGATTTTTTTTTATTATTTAATGATATAAATATTATAGTTCTTTATTACTATAAACAAATTGTTTATTTTATGAAGGAAACAATCAAATAAAAAAATAAAAATTTTGAAAAATAATTCTTGTTGAAAAAAATTAATGTAACAATTGAGGTGAGAAAATAATGTAACAATTGAGGAGGTGTTTACAGATTGCTAATATTTACAGAATAGTATAGCAAGAGAAGTTATAAACGGACAGAAATAGTTACATCTAAATGTGATAATAGTGATTACATGCAAAGAAATACTGTAGCAATTGAGAGAAAAAAAAGAGTGATAAGAAATGATAATGTTTTTGTAATGATAAACTGACAGTGCGATGATTAATGATAGTTTTTTCATGAATAATGAGGCAATATAAGAGAGAATATCTTATTAATGATGAAAGCATCATTCCATAGTTAAGCTGTAATAAAGAAAAATTTGTATTAGTGATAAAAAGATAATCAATATGATAATTTTATTTGAAGTTTAAATTTGAAAACATTTTTCAAGATTAAACAAAATACTGCATGTGCGGGAAAAATGGCGGAATATATATTAGAACTTTCCTCTCTTGCACTTAATCCAACATATAATGTATTGTGGCGTTTTTGGTTCCGTAATATTATCACAATTTTGTTACCATTTTTTTTGCTTGCTTTTTTTAATGGTCAAATTGTAATTGTGCTACAACGAAATCAACATACTTCCCAAATCGATGAACTTGGTAAAAATCAAATAAAGGTTATATTTATATTTAAATTTATAACCGAGGTTATATTTATTTTAGAAGAACAAATTTATTTAATAGTAATAATTTGTTTGTTAGTAGTGTGAAATTTTGGTTTGAAAAAATTGCAATCAATTTCCTCTACTTTTTCTTCCAACAATAAAGTTAAATTACAGAAGATAATAATGAATAAAAGTGAAAATGAATGACAAAAAATAATAATCTTTTTTAGAAAAAAAAAATGATTTAAAACGGAACAAAAAGTCTTTTTCTTTTTTTTAAAAAAAAAAAAGAAATGAATCAATTTTTGTAATATTAAATAAGATTGAAAACACTAACAGTAAATAATTAACAAATAAATAAATAAATAGTTCTGGTTTTTTAATCTTTATATTAAATTTGTTTATTTCCTAACTTTTAAATAAATTTAAAGGGTCGTGTACGAACAGCCACAAGAACACTTGTATTTGTTGTTTTTACCTATCTTCTTTCCAACATATTAAATGTTATCGTTACAATTTGGGAGTATATTGATATGGAAGGTTTAATGACGGAACATACTGCATTGTATATATTTTGCACTGATTTAGTTTGTTTCATTTCTTTCACTTTTACTTATTATTAGTAGTATTTCTTTCATATCTCAATTTTTAATACGAAAAAGTATAAATGTAATAATAACGATACCAATATTAATAATAACACTAATAAATAATAATAATAACAATAAATGATAATAAGAAAAAGAGCGATAATAATATTTGGCAATTTGAATTAATAAGAAAAACAATAATAATGGATGAATAACTAAAATGATTCAATTTAACAATAAATATTTATTCGTTTTTTTGTATAGTTATAGTTTATGACACAAAAAATTCAATTCTACACATTTTGCATCAAATAATTACCATTAATTTGTTGATGTTCATTTTGAGATTAAGGAAATTCATATTTTACAATTCTTTATAGAAGGAAAAACGATACTAATTAATTTATCAGTATTATAAACATTATTAGTTATATAATTAAAATTTTTTCAAAACATATTAACTTCTACAGTAATAATCGAAGACTGAAAGCGATGTGCTGTATAATACAGTAACTAAACATATTTAAATTTTTTCTTTTTTTTTTTTGAATATAGTTCTAGTTTTAGAAATAAAAATTTGTAATTTCAAATTAGAAATAAATCATTTTTCGGCCTTATTAACAGCATTATAAGGATAACTAAAATTATTTAAAAATTAATAATTGGTAATTTTTCAGCTGATCAAATGTCAGATTCATTGTTTAATTAATATGAATGAAATCGTCATAATCTATTTTTATTTTTTAATAATTCATCAAAAAAAAAAGTAAAAAAATTTGAATGAAACTTTAGGTTTCACTATTCACTACTTTGGCTGGCTCACTACGTTTATCTATTTATGCGATGTGTAATCCACAATTACGGTTAGAATTTAAACAAGAAGCTGGGAAAATTTTGAAATTACCATCAAAATTTAAGGTAATTAATTCAAAAGATTATAATATTAATAATTTTTAAATATTAAATTTAAGCATAATTATAAAAAAAGTTGAGAAGATCTAAGCATAATAGTAATGTGATTAGTTCAGTTATTTTATTTCTGTTTTCTTCCTCATTTACTAACAATAATAATTTAATTTTATTCTTCTATTAAATTTTCCTTATTGTTTAATTTATTTTTTTTCGGTTTGTTATTTCTTATTTGTTCATTAATTTATTTTAGATTGTTACCTTTCAAGGGTTTACCTCAGCCAATAAGCGAAAGAATCGACGAAAACAATACAATGATTACGTTGCTACAATCACAGAGTGTTGCACTTAATATTATTCAAATCAAAAATCATTCCTTATCACTGTTTAACTACAAACAATATCTGATAAGGATTACAATGAAATTTTGATATTATATTCATTAATTAACTTATTTACTTGCTATTAATTAGTATAATTTTATTGCGGGTGTTATCATTACTATTACTATTATTGTTACTTATTGCTATCGGTATTATTGTCACTATTACTACTATTGTTATCATTATTATTATCACTGCTATTAGTATTGTTATCAGTGTACTGCTCATCAAATATTTGTATTTGCTTGTTTCGTAAAGAAAACAAAATTGCTTGCTAATATTTCTATGCTTTCTTTTCTTTTTTTTTTTTTTTTTTTTTTTTGTTTGTTTGTTAGAAAAGCAAAAGGAAATAAGAAAATGAAATAAGTAAATTTCTTGATTTGAATGCAAATGAATTAATTTAAAGTGGGTTTTTTGCTAAATTTAGTTGAAAGTATTTGAAGTCGCTCTCGAACTTTGTATGATATCGAGAATTTAATGATATGATAACTGAAATGAATTTTATTGAAATATTCAAAGATAATATGTGAAATTTCAATAAAAAATACTGCGAAAAGCAAATTAATAATATACTGAAAATAAATGAAATCATTAATTATTTTTCTTTATATATTGAATTAATTCCAGGAAGACTTTAAAAAAAAAAAACTCATCATAAAAGTTTAAATCAAATAAAGAAAAAGAAAACAAAATATTTATTAATTTTAGAAGAAAAAACGAATTTTGTGTAATTAATTTCAGTCATTATAATTATTTATAAATATTGTTTAAATCATAAATTTGACCTAATGATTTAATTTGAATTACATTTAAACAAAAAAAATTTCAATATCTTTCTTCTTTTTTTTATTTTTCAAAAATTCTTTTTTAATTAAAACAATAAAAATTCTTTTTACATTTTTTATATTATTTTTTCAATTTATTCCAAAAATTACAAAAATTCTCATATTTGTATTGGTTATAGTTTAATATAAATAACTTAGTATTTATAGATATACAATCTAATATTATTTAAATACAACCCAATATTATATAAATATATAATCTGATATTACATCGATATATAACCTAATATTAAACAAAACATATAATTTAATATAACCTAATATTATGGACATATGAATTCTGTCATCCGATTTTACATAAAACATTCAAATATATTAATGAAAAACGGATGCAAAGCAAATTTACCTAATGTTTTCATTCTTTTTTCCTTTTTTTTTTTTAAACTAAAATAAAGAAATATAAAAATTGGTAGCAAGAAATAGTCAATTTTTCATCACCTTAAGCTAATTTATGATATCGTTAACTACGGTATGCACTCCTTATTGCAATGTCTTTTTTTTTAATTTTCATTTCATTTTAATGCATTCATTATTTGATATGTAAATCCATTATTTATCTGTTATTTATTTCATTTTTTTGTGCATTTTCTATTTTTATTTCCTAAAAGATTTTTTATTTTCATTGATTTTTCTCTGTTTTTTGATCATTTCATGAATACTAGCATTTAGCATTTAGTTATTAGCTATTTTATCATTTCATTTTGTTATTTTTCTTTTTTCCTTTCAATAAATATCTAACATATTTTTTTTAAAAAAAAAGATCACTTATTGTAAGTAACTGAAATAATATATTAAGGAGAAATTGGAAAATATAAAATAGTTGAACAAAAGTTATGTTATAACTTTGATCGTTAACTTGTTTTATTATTATTCTTATTACTTAAGTGGTCATTTTTTAATAAAATAAAATAAAATTAGATTTTTTAAATAATACTTCTTATCATACATTATCTTATCACATTGCCTTTTATTACAATCGAAATCAAATATTCTTGAATTTTCAATAATTATATCAAAATTATCGGAACAATAAAAATTGAAATAGTGAATGATGAGACAATAAAATTTAAATTTCAGTGAAAACAAATGTATATTTTTATTTGTCTTAAATCTTATGCTTTTTTGCGAGTTTTAGATTTGAAATTATTCGGGATTATTTCTTACTTTTTAAATATCGCATTATCACTGAATGCTTTGCTATTGATTTTAGTTTAGTCAGAAAAAAATTATCAAAAATGCACAAAGAATTTTTAATATATAATTTTAAAATAATTTAATATATATTTTTGATCAAAATCAAATTATTTCTGGATTTCTAATAATAATTGTTCCAAGGTTATTGAAGCGATTAAAATTGAAAGCTCATGTGTAATTATAATCTGAAATCGAGGATTTGAAAAGAATTTCATATAACTAATTTTTTATACCAATTCGAAATATTTTTTTGATTTATTCAGTGTCACTAAAGCTTACCCATTTTTTTATAATTTAAATTTTCCTTACATTTTCTTCTATTTATTGTAATCAATTTTAAATTTGAAACTTTTAGTGATTAGAACAAAACATAAATAACCTATTCGAACAAATGTTTAATAGCAATATTTGCTGTCAATTTTAAAAATTTGTGAGCAATTTGAAATGATTTGGGTATTACACATTTTCTGCCCATTTTATTGCTTAGTTAAAGTTTCGCTATGAGTTAGACATTTTTTAAAGTTACTTTTTTATATTTTCCACTTATTTTTAATTGCTATTATTAAATGTTCTTATAAATATATTAAAATTGCTATAGTTTAAGCTTTGAAATATTCAAGTAAAATCTCTGTAAAATTTTATTACACCAATTTATCATTGGTTTAGAATCAGTGGTTGCTACCATAATTTCAGTTCAATTATAACTGTAAAACCAGCATCAGCGTTTCAGTCTATCGATATTATCAGCTGAATCTGCTGATGCTTTAAAATGAAATTCCGCTGGTGCTTCGAAAATTTTACTGGTTGAATCCATCAGTGCTTCAAGAAGAGATTCCAGTAGTTGAATCCATCAGTGCTTCAAGAAGAGATTCCAGTAGTTGAATCCATCAGTGCTTCAAGAAGAGATTCCAGTAGTTGAATCCATCAGTGCTTCAAGAAGAGATTCCAGTAGTTGAATCCATCAGTGCTTCAAGAAGAGATTCCAGTAGTTGAATCCATCAGTGCTTCAAGAAGAGATTCCAGTAGTTGAATCCACCAGTGCTTCAGGAAGAGATTCCAGTAGTTGAATCCATCAGTGCTTCAAGAAAAGATTCCAGTAGTTGAATCCGTCTGTGCCATATCAATTACTGCTTCATAATAGATTCCATCCATCAGTTAAATCTATTATTTTAAATTGACTAGAATTGATCAGTTTGGTTGGATAGAAATCGTCGCCAGAAATTTGTCGTATGCATTCAGATGGCTTAAAATAATGAATTATGGTATTAATAAATGATAGTTACCTCTTATACCTAATTTTTTTCATTTTTTGATTGTTAGTTAATTATTTTTAAATTACATAATGGTTGTTTTATTAATGAATGTTAATATAAACGATTTTATCATTGATTTAGAATTCAAAATTTGGAGGTAAATGAATACATTTTATTATCAAAATTCAATTGTCAAAATCAATAACTGTTAAAAATTCATAAACTAAAGTCTAAAATTTCAATAATTGTCTGATGCATAATCAATAAAAAGATGATTAATATATTTTATCTCACTTTTTACTTAATAACTATAAATAAAGATAAAAATTTTTATTTACAGTTATTATCATTATTTTTTTGCATTTTATCAATGTGATAATTATTATTATTTGTTTTATTTTAATCTTGATAACTAATAAAAATTGTTATTTATTATTTTTTTTTTTTTTTTTTTTTTTGATAACATAATTTAGTATTTTCAAATAAGAGCAAAAAAAAAAGAAAAACAAAATATGTCGTTTTAGTTTTGATATGTAATCTATCAAATTTTTTATTTTGAATAGTTGACTGAAGATCATGTATAACTTCAGCTAACTTACTTATTGCTAATTTGACCCCTGAGATTTCCTTGTATTGTCCTTCTATCTATCATCAATCAATAAATGTGATGCAAATTTAATGTCTCGTTATTATCAAAATACTGAAAGTATTTCTCTAGAGACAATATATGATTCAAATTTCCATAATGTTCACTTTTTATCATTTAGCTTTTCAAACTATTCTGTCATCTATTTAAAAAAAAAAGAGAAAAAAACTAAGCCTTCTAAAAAGGACTATTCGATTTTGTCTCTTTCCATCCACTCAATTATTCCCTCTCTCTCTCCCTCTCTCTCTCTCTCTTTCCCTCTCTTTCGCCCTCCCATCCCATCATCTTCAATAGATATCATTATCAGTAGGATTTTTCTCTCCTTCCGGTTTTTTTTTCCGTTTCATAGTTTTTTCTTTATTTCATTTTCATCCTCTTCCTACCTTTATTTCTTCTTTTGTCGCCATTTTCAAAACTAATTTTAACATTTCAACCAAATTTCATCAATTTTTTGATTTTTTTATTGTCCTTTTGAAAGAGAAAAAAGCACAAAAAAATGAAAAAAGAAAAAATATTGAACAATAAAATTTTGTTTGTGAAATTTTAATTTAAATTACCGAAAAAATTTCATTCGTTTTTTTTTTTTTACTCTCACTTTATTTTATAGTAAAATTAATTGCAAAATTATTAAATTTTTTCCGACTTTTTTTTTGGCTCATAAAATATTAGACGTGAACAAACGTGAGCAAAGTTTATTAGACGTGAACAAACGTGAGCAAAGTTTAATGTAAAAAAGTTAAAAATAAATTTAAAAAAAACGAAATGCAAAGTGAATTTTTGATTAATTGTTTTGATAATAAGCATCTTTTTTCATCCTCCTTTTTCTATTTCTTACTAACTTATGCAAGAAATGAGTAACAACTTTATACTTTTAAAATTTTAAACAAAGGCTAAATAAATTGTCTAAGATTTGACATAGTAAAAACGAAAAAGAAAAGATTAGATGATAAATAGTAATCCTAGGCTTATAATAATTGTTTTGTTGGCCCTAAAATTTAGTAATGAAAGAATATAATCTGAAGCAAATGACT